TGATTTGCTGCCTTCCCCCAGATTCCGGGTTTCTGTGCTTTGCTTTCCATCTGATGGGTAATACCTGTGGGAATAAACGGCTTGGCTTGCCCTGAAGAGAGGACAAGTGACCAGCGTGAGTCAAATCTTGAATGCTTTGTACCCTGCTCTCTCCTGATGGTGAACCAGTGAGATCTCACAAGCTTGAATATTCCCTATTTGCTGATGGTGCTCAGCAACCAACTCACCGAGGTCACCTCTGGCTGGTTTCTCAAGCTTTAGGCTGGATATAAGTGAATGCTGAGCTATCGGTGCGGTCTCAGGGTGTTCGGCCAAGAAAATCCTGGAAAAGGGAATTGTGAATTCTTATGCTGCCTTTTTTCCTTCTTACTTTTTTGACATCTGCTTTGTTGTTTGTCTCACTCCTGGGTGGCAGAGGAGGAATATCGTGGTTGGAGGGTTTTTTTGTTGTGATTGGTCTCTTGCCAATATTAGTGAAAATGTCTGGTGTCTGGTGTTACGGAGCACAGGAGTCACAAGAGATATTATAATAATTTTAAAAACTAAGTATCAGAGGAAAGAAAAAGAAATTTGAAACCAATCATGTTTCCTCTCAGTATAATCTTATTTGTAAACTGACACTGCAGATTAAAGGAAGAGAAGCACACAGCTCTTTCTAAGGAGAGGGTTTTTTCCATATCATGTTTCTCTGCCATGCTGCTGCAATGCTGCCTCGTGTGGCTCTTTTCATGCCTTTTAGCAAAAAGTTAGGAACTCTGCACCTCCCTTTCCATATTTAGAGTATATAGCTACAGCCAGCTCCTTTCTGGGATATATATGTTGGTTAGTTTTGCTTTTTTTCTTTTTCTTAGAACTTGCAGGGTTTTTCCAAAGGAAACAGCCACGCCCTTTCAATAAGCTTTTCCAGAGCTGTTCACCTGTTCCAGGAGTTGTGAAGAGGTGAGGAAGAAGTGGCACGAGCGTTCCCCACTACGAGGGTTCCCTCTCCTCTTCCTATCTGTTGACTTGGCTGGACTGATGCCGAAAGGGTATTTTCTTGCAAAGCAGAAGCCACTTGTGATGGAAACGTCTCCTGAAATCTGGGTAAAGCGGCATTAGCTCTCCAGCGTAAAGGTCAGTGCACCTCCAGCGGTGTATCAGAAATAATAAACCTGGTCAGATGCCTGCGGGGCTCCGACTCAGTGCCCATAAAAGCCTCTTACGCAGTGGGAGAGCAAGCAACTGACGTACAGCGGTGTACGGTGGCCTGGCCCCAAAGCTTGGAGCTCTCATCTTGGAGGGACTTCCCTCCAAGGGTACGACTGAAACACTGAGCCCCCCCGCTCCTTTACCGCATTGCCTTGGGTGAAACAGTTACCTCAACCCAGGCTGGAGAGCACATATTTCACAGCGCAGGTTTCCTCTGAGGAACATTCTTGCCTTTTGTATCATCAGGACATGCCCCCGCTCAGAGGGAAGGAGGAGCTCCTCCACGATCAAGCAATCTCATCCATCGTGCGCCAAATCCATCCGGGCTGGCCCTTCCCTAATTAGGGCAGCAGTCACCCAGAACACCTTCTCCGCGGATGACCTTGCTCTCACTGTCCCCATGCTGCCCCTCCCCACGCCGCGCCTTGCCGTCCTGGCGGCAGTGGCCGAGCCGCTCCTCTGAAGCTCACTCCTTCACTCAACTTCCCCTCAAAACCGAAACATGTCAGAAATTAATTAACTGAGTTGACTGGTTATTAACAGAAATAGCCCCGTGTTGCTCACACATGGTCTTCACATGCCTCCATTCACCCACAGCCTCCATGCACGGCCAGGAGAGGGACTAAAGTGATGCTCCTGGGAGGGTCCTCGGGATGCTGTGTTTTGGGACTGAAGATGGTCATTGAAGTGACGAGGACTGAGGTTTAAGCTGAGGAGAGTTGCTGGAGGTGTTTATGTGCCTGGGTGCGACAGGAATATAAGGAAACTGTGCACTGATGGAGATGGAAAGAAAATGTGGGGCAGAGCCAGGAGAACTGTTAGAAACATGGAGTTGTGGGTCACTTGAAGAACCTTGGACCAAAGAGGATTTGGGGTGGTTGGAAGGAAGGTAACTCTGAGTGTAGGGCTGTGGCTATGGGGTTGCTCACTAGGAGTAGCTGTGAGATGACAGGACTCTACTTTTAGGATGGGGGAGTAGTGGGATGATAGCGGGGGGGCGGGCTGAGCACAGAAGGGTGCCCGAGGTGACATTTGGTCAGTGGCTGGGTGGAGGTGGTGGGAGTTGACTGAAGCAGAACAAGGTGCGTGATCCCCTGAGCTGTGTCCTTCCTGGCTTCTCCTCATTGTTTCTTACTAGAGATGAGAACAGGGAAGTGGCTGTCACAGCTTCTGAGGTTGCCACCTGGAAAGAGGGATAGGCCACCAGTGCTCGAGGCCTTGTGCCAACACCTTGTCCCATGGCTGCAGTTTCTCTTTCTGGCATTGGCTAAGCTTGAAGAGAACCAGCCTTGCTTAGCGCGCAGGCATGGGGAAGGGAGCTTGGCGACACCAACGCTACATTGTGTAACCTCGATATTGGACTTTCCCTCCAAAGCACGTGGCTACTCAAGAGCAAGGATGGCGGGTGCTGTTGCTGGAGTGAGGGGTAGGAGGATGGCGCTGGTGATCAAAGGGAAAAAAACCCAAACGAATCATCCAAACAAGGTTTTTGTTTTAAGTTACAGGCAGCTGAGGTTGGAATTATGAGAGAATTAATGCTGTTTGTTAAGTCCCTGGAAGTCTTGAATTAATCTTAAGGTGGCAAAGGAGATGGAAGAATGGGTTCACACTAACTATTGCTGAAGGAAATCACAAGCAAACAGGCCCATACAGGTAACATTTTCAATTTATTTATATAAACAACTGCATTTTAAAAACATTCTTGTCCTACAAAAATAGAGTGGAAAAAACAATTCACAGAATTTAAAATAAATAAATCTCAAACATACACATTTATTATGAGCAACTTGAACCCAGCCAAACCCAGCAGGTTGGGTCACAGGTAAGCGACTGTTGAAATGTGGCTGCAGAGTACAAAATGCAGAGTGAACATGATTCCTTTTCTGAAGCAGCTTCTAACTTGGATGACATGGTCAGAGAAATTCCTCTTTAACTACCCCAAAACCAACTAGATCTGTCCAGACTTGTCTCCCTTTGACTCTAAGCTGAACAAACGCAAGGAAAAGCCTGGTTAGTGGCAGAAGGGTGCTCTGAAGAAGCATGTTCCAAAGATGGATCTGCACGACAATTATATGTTTAACAAGCATCCAAGCAATTTTCCCTTATTAGCACAAACAGTACTGACCACCTTTTATCCAAGATTATCACAGGTATTCCCTTATCCATGCTTTAAATAAAGGAAAACAAATGCCCTTCTTTCTCCCAAATCAGTCACACCAGAGACCACCTCAAAGCAGTCATGGGTATCGGTCGCCCCCAGAGATCTCAATTCACCTGTTCACACCAACCAGTACGGACTGACACAGCGTAACGCAATCGGTGTCTCAAAACAGATCAACAGAAACGGAAGTTACAGCTGAACTATGCTACTGCCAGAGCTGTTACAACGCAAGAGCCTCTGCGAGTGTTTGTCAGAAGAAATAGAAAACTCAAGTCCTTTTCCACAAGTAGTTGGGGAATTTTGGCCAGGGGCACAGAAATACCACGTTGCTGCTCTATTCCAGTCTGAAGTGACTTTTTACCTACAGTTCCCCAGCTGTTGTTATGGGAAGATCATCTCCTACATTTCCTCTCTAGAAATTAAAAAAAGATACCCTTATATGCAAAGTTTGAAGCGCTGGTACAAGACCCTGTGTAACTTCTTACGTGCCCAAATGAGATTAGAAATTTTTTTCAGATGTATTTGTCCTGATCTGGCACTAAGAGATATTGTGCTAGCTAGCCAGTTTTAATTAAGCTTAAGCCACTCAGAATGCCTCTATTTAGAAATTATAAGCAAAATGTTACCCCTCTTCCCCCCAATAAATAAACAGTAAGTTACAAGTATGACTTGTGTACACAGACATAAACTACTCTCAAGCCCTGGTGCCTTCCACCCAGCATTCATTTCTGTGCTGCATATGTTCACACAGCTTCTTCGCTTTCACTCTCCCCCAAGGATCTCCATGTTTTGGATACACAAAGCTATACTATAGTCACATCCTTAACTAAAGATACATTGCCTGCTTGTCCTTAAAGTGACAGAGATTAAAATTATATTATCCAGTAGACCAGAGAACTACAGCTACGAAAAGAATACCAATACATCAAACTAAGTTTAAGACCTCCCCAAACTTGCACAATAAAACATCTGTATCGAAATACAAGCAGCCTCATTATCGCAGCCTGAGCAGTATCTCATCATCCTCTCACACAACTTAATACTTTTGTGACATATGCTTCAAAGGCGAGTAGGATCCAACAGAAGTTCTATTTTCTTTAAATAATTAAATTAACAATTTTAAAAAAGTATAATGCCACATGAAAGTAGACTTACATGTAAAAAACCCCATAAGTTACTATACAAAGTGCCTTATTTACAACATGGGAGAGGTAGTACAGAAGATAAATGCAATGCATTTACTCACTTTACATAAACGAGCCTCAAGTATACGTATTTTTTGTTAATCTTTGAGTACTGAATTCATGATCTTTTTCTGGCAATTTTTCATTACACCAAATTTTTAGTTCAGTGGCCTGTTTTCAAGTTTAAGAAGTTGCCGAGGCAATTTTGTAGCGTTACGTGACTTACATCAAATGAAGAGCCAAGAAAACCCACCATCCCCCTTTGTCAAGTATTAACGTAACATTTAAAAAAGTTGGAACCTTTGTCCACTTTGGAATACATAGTTCTGTTACAGAAGATTTTAAACAAGGGATTCACCACTGTAGAGCTCAAGCACAGAAAATCCCTTTTTTAAGTGGAAGCCTTACCTGAGTAAGGAATCTAGGGCAACCCCCACAATGAAGATGCTCAAGTTCATTTTGAAGTTTTTTTTAACACTAAGCCATAAATTAAATAAATTATATAGTTAAATAAATAAATAGGTGGATTTTTTTCACAACTCAGCAGATCGCTCTTTCAGTAGTAGCGTGGGGTTGATATCTTCCATTGCTGTTTTTGAGGTACTAACATTAATCGTTGCTTCCGTGGGTTCAGGATTTAAGACATGGAACGCAGTGAAAGGACAGCCTTTCACGTTGTTGCAGATGAGCTTCTGCAAGGAGGCGGTATTGATTATTTCGAAGCCCACTTTCCCACCGAAGGTGCTAGGCTTCCAGTACTCGGGAGAGCAGATAGCATTTCCCATCAGTCCTTTCAGAGAGAAGGGCGCTCCCATCTCCACCATCGTTTCGCCGAAGATGGCACCTGGTCGTGGCTTTTCTACGAGAAGGCCCGGGTACAGCTCCATAGCGTCAATGTCTCCATAAAGCTCTTCCAGTTCAGCTGCCATTTCTTTTTCTCCTGAAATTATTGATGAGTGAAAAAATGGTAAGTGAAAAAATCCTATTTTCACAGGAAGCCTATCCTGTTCAAGTCCAGTAATAGCACTGCAGGACTCTATTAACCATTTTAAGAAAAAAAGCCCTTGTTTGTTAGAAAAGGCTGAAAACTGTTACCTGTAAGTTCTTCAAATGATTTGAATGGTTTCAACATGAAGCGTTTCCGGTACTCGTTCAAGGACTGGTATCTCATTTGTCTACTTTGGTCAATCGAAGCCTTTGCTACCTTCTGTACTGCAGCAGGAACGTTCTTCCCACCAGCAACCTATTTAACCAAGACAAAAAGCATGAAGATCTCCCGATAAGAGTCATGAGGAAGTTGTGCCTTGTAGTGTGTAATTAGTAGCTTTTTTCTACCCGCTTTGTCCCACCCCCAGGTTACATCTCTGTTGGTTCACTAACAGCTCACAAAAGAACTTACCCTGCCAGCACTCTGCTTGGAGAAAGATTTCACCATGTGGGAAAGGCCGTGCTCCAGCATTATGGAGTTGTTGTAGAGGAACTGCTGGAACGTGTACTCCTGGTCATGGATCTGGAAAGTGTCCGGCAGAAGCGGGTGCCAGTGGTAGAGAGTATTGAATTCAGCTGCAATTCTGTTCTGGTATTGAAATCGCTGGTTGAACAGCAGCTCGGGATCAAACTTGAGTTTGAAGTGGTAGCCACTCAAGTGTTGCACATAGTCCTCAATCACAATCTTGATGGTCTCTCCTGTTGGTGAGGGAAACAGAGAAGAATATTGGTGCTGGTTCCCCAAGAAACTTCTCTGCTCTGAGAGAAAACCACCATTTCTGAACTGTTCTAAAAAAAATACTGTATGGATCAGGATAACAAACACCTCTGTAATACCATCTAAGAAAATAATTCTTATCTTTTAAATACTGTTCCACCCCTTAGTCACATAATATTGCAAGATATTTTGGCTGTGGTAGAGAAGTGGTAGAGCAAGTAGCTTGCTTTCCCCCTTCTTCAAGATCCCCTTCTGTTTTATGTTCCACAGCATGGCTCATCTTGGTATCTGCATCTTGTTCGGCTACATGGTACTCTCTAGGACAGTAGTAGGGAAGAAAGTTGGTATCTGAGAGAGACTCTCAGCTTCTGAGCTGCTTAAAACTGTCTCAATGTACTGTTCCAGTGAGTGTGGGTAAGGTCTTTTCAAGCTTAGTGTACATCACCATTTATGTAAGACAAAATGCAACCGATCAGACAGACAGCAGAAATACGTGGAACTGCATTTTACATCATTCCCTGAACTTCAGGCTTAATCACAGCCTTTCTTTTCAAGCATACCTGAACTGACCCAACCCCCGGGGAAAAAAGAAACAAAAAAAATGAAAACAAACGCACAAGATCTGAGAGTCTGAGGTCATCTAGCCTCACATGCTTTCTCTCTGAGAAACGAGCCTTAGCTTCCTGCCTTTTCACTGCTCCCAGTTCTGTTTCCCTCAGATAAGGGAACTGAGTACCCTTAGCTCAGGTTTCTTCAGTTCTGTCTTGAACATGGCTGGGAGGAAGCTGCATCTCACTGTAACCCCCATTGAGAGATCATGAAGGTTCACAGGTATGCTCTCACACACCCATTTAGGTAAAACAGCTCTCCCTTGTACTACACCTACTGCTGCAGACAGCGAGTAGAAGCACCCTCCTTGTGAGAAAGTTAGAGTTGCACATAGTATAAGTGACACTCACCTATCAATATGAGTCGGGTAGTTTGGAAGAGCTGCTCATCATCCCACTCGGGATGCTCCCGTTTCAGGACATCACAGACACGGTTGTGTTCCCTCAGCCATATGGTAGCATACATCATCAAGCCTGGGACCAACCCGAACACCTCCTGCCCGACAGAAAACTGCAAGTGTTCAGGTATGTGAGGAGGGTAGATCATCTCTGCCTGAGTGTCCTTCACCGTTGGTGGATACATTTCTCCATCAATCATCTGTTGGGGGGGAGAGAAAGAACAAGATGAGTCATAAGCTTTGATGCTTAGGAGTTAAGCTCTGTTAGTACTAACTTTAGGCTTACCCTTCGGATCCACCCCACCATGCACAGAGCACTGGTTTTAGGAAGCACATGTTACTGGATAAGAAGATGGGAATTCTGAGGTAAGGCATACCTGGTATTTTAGCTTTCCATCCTTTAGAAGTCTCAGCTTAAGTTGTCTCTCCAGAGTCTCTCCATAAATATGGTTCAAGTCAACCTGTAAAATAAAAGCATTTAGAACATGAAGCTGACTTGCATTTTTTGCTATTTTAGGATACATCCTGCTTCTGTGGATGCCAACAGGAGTTCATCCTTTCCACGTTTACCTTTTAATTACATTAATGCTACCTTAGAAGTATCACACACCGATATTTACGACAAAGCCAAATTATTTCCTGGCAACTGAAGACATCTCTGCATAAGGGCAAGTTGTTAAATTGGCTGGCAATTTAAAAGGACTCTGTTTGAAGTGTCAGCAGCTTTCTGTTCTGCAGACAGCTCTTTGTACATACACACATTTTACAGACATACACATTGCATTTGTACTGAAGAGCTCTTTGTCCGAAGGCTGCCCGTTTGAAGATAAAGATTCTAAAATCAGAGTCTGCTTTTGAAGTTTGTTTTACACTAAGTCTCTTCAGTTAGCACAGAAGATATCTTACAGTGCTGGATACAGATAAGTTCTGGGTAGTCACTAGATCTAACATGCTTTAGGTGAAAGCAGACTCTTGGGAATAATAATAATTAAAAAAAAAAAAAGCGCCCTAGAGATCACCGTGCAGGTATTTCATACAGAACCACGTGCTTTGTGCAAGCAGTTCTGACCCAAGAAGAGATGCTACTGAGTGCCAGAATTTTGCCTAAGGAGAAGTTCCAGAAGGGCTAAGCCCATTAGTCTGTGGCAAGCAGCATCATACAGTATGTGCACCGGAGTGTGTGTCCCCTGGCAATCCGCAAGGTACTGCTCTGGCTGCTCAGCGGCTCCCAGGAACTAAGTGCTGTGCTGAAGTTACAGAGCTATGATCGTACCCCATGGCTGAGGCCTTTGGTGAATGCGGGTCCTTTCTTGTGGTCTGTCTTAAAGAACTGATGAGTGAAGTGTTGGGCAAAGAATGTGAACATCACGTTTGTGCCTTGTGGGTCAGGAATGAATTTTTTCCGCAGCAAAAACTTCTCCACAATCAGCTTTGAATCTGGGAGCTCTTTCTTACCTGTGAGAGAAAGACATAGTGAGATATTTGAGTCAACCGTGTTTATGCAATATTTTTTGTTCGTAACATCAAAAAAGTCTTAAAACTTTCAATGTATTATTAAGAGATAGCAGCATACAAATAAGGGGAGTTATCTACTTTTCTGTGCCCACTTTTTGATATTTTTTCCAAATTCCCTGTTTTTAGCAGGTAATTCTCTGATGAATAGTTATCTTTTAGGTCTTTACACAGTGCATCCAAAGCACTACTATCCTGAAAGCCAACTACACTGAAAAAAGTTTATAGACACACAGGTATCATATTTTCTAGGAGGATGAGTAGAAATTCCTAGAAGTGAACATTACACATCTGGTTTATTCCTTACCTTTAACACCCATCGGTGTTGGGCAGTCAAGTCCTACTGGTGGAAGACTTCTTGTGTAATAGGAAAGATTGGAATATGCTTCCCAGCTTTTGTAACTGTAATCATTATTGTAAGTTGGTGGGCTGTCGATCAAGTGTGATCTTGCTGAAAAAAAGTATGATTTTTATTTCTTTAAATGGTACATTTTAGTCTCAAAAACTAAAGGCTAGGTCTTTTCTGTGTATTTTGGCAGCAGTTTTCTTGACAAATCCCACACCTATCAGCTACTGATGTTAAGTGAGATTACAATTACTGCATAACAGGACTAGGTCCTGGATTATCATTGCCTAGATCTGACTATTAACAGAAGCAATTTGGTGCACAGTTTATGCCAGCAAACCCCTGGATTCTGTTAGAGCAAAATGCATTCCCATTTCAAAGAGTGTTTCACACAAGTCCGCATCATGCGGAAATCTTAAGCTTTGGTTAATACATTTTAGGTTGCTACTTTTATATATAGACCAATTGATCGCCTTCTTCTGGAGTCCTACCAGTAACTTCTGCCAGTTAAGGGGACTAGAAGAGAGAACTCGTACTTACACGTTAATACGTATCTCATAATAGCATCCCGTAAGAAAGGAATGTTGTTGATGATGTTCCAGGCTCCTTTGAAGTGAGTGAGGATGTAGTGGACAGTGTTCGGTGAAGGTTTCAGCATTACCCTCAGCCACGTGAAGAATTCCGCTGCGAGTGCCGATGGAGAGATGATTGCAAGTTAGCTACCGAGAACAATGTGCAACCCTGGGGCTGCATTCTCAAATTTCCGTGAAGAGAGAGATTTAAGGTACTTACGCGTCGTGCAGTTTTCCCCGTAATATCCCGTCCTCGTGCAGTCACATTCATAGCCATCGAAGCCTGTTGTCATGCACACTCCTCGGTTCTGACAGGGGTTGGAGCAGCAAGGGTTGGCTGGAACGAAACCAGACGTTCCGAT